CCATCCCTCCCACCGCCCACCACTCCAGCAACCCTCAGTTTGTTTCCGGAGGTTAAGAATTCCTCATATCAGCGAGGTCATATGATACATGTCTTTCTCTGATTGACTTATTTCACTAGCATAACACCCTCCAGTTCCATCCACGTCGTTGCAAATGGCAAGATCTCCTTCCTTTTGATGGCTGCATAATATTCCATTGTGTATATATACCACCTCTTCTTTATCCATTCATCTGTCGATGGACATCTTGGCTCTTTCCACAGTTTGGATATTGTGGACGTCGCTGCTATAAACATTGGGGTGCACGTACCCCTTCGGATCCCTACATTTGTATCTTTGGGGTAAATACCCAGTAGTGCAATTGCTGGATCGTATGGTAGCTCTAATTTCAACTGTTTGAGGAACCTCCATACTGTTTTCCAGAGTGGTTGCACCAGCTTGCATTCCCACCAACAGTGTAGGAGGGTTCCCCTTTCTCCGCATCCCCGCCAACATCTGTCGTTCCCTGACTTGTTAATTTTAGCCATTCTGATGGGTGTGAGGTGGCATCTCATTGAGGTTTTGATTTGGATTTCCCTGATGCCAAGCGATGGTGAGCACTCTTTCATGTGTCTGTTGGAGCTGGCCATCTTCTGCTGCAGTCCCCACCCGCCCATTCTTGATCATTTTGATATCTCTTCACTCCACCCCATTTGGCCTGCCCATGCCTTGCTCATCTTTAGCCATTTGCTCTATTGACCATCATTGGTAAGTACAATTATTTGTGTTTTTTTTTTAAGATTTTATTTATTTATTTAATTGACACAGAGAGAGAGAGAGACAGCGTTGAGAGGGAACACAAGCAGGGGGAGTGGGAGAGGGAGAAGCAGGCTTCCAGCCGAGCAGGGAGCCTGAGGCAGGGCTCCATCCCAGGACCCCGGGATCATGACCTGAGCCGAAGGCAGTCGCTTAACCAACTGAGCCACCCAGGCGCCCTGGTAAGTAAAATTATTCGAACACGTTGTTAATACTAAAGTTTCCTCTCCCACTCTGACCATTTGTCTCTATCCCCATTCCTCCTTTCTTGCCCACGACCACCTGTCTCACTGGTTCAGAACCTACAGAAGAGTGGAGCCAGCTACACAGCACCCCCCACACCCCCCCGACATACACTCCCTTTGCTCACAGACCTTTACACTCAGTAATTATTAATTGGGTAGCTCCTATGGGCCAAAAACTAAGCTAGGGCTCTGGTGACAAATAAGCCAGACTTTGGATGTAAGAGCCAAGAGGTGGGTAAACTGTGTTCTTTGTTCCAGCACGAGCTGGCAAGGTCTTCCGCAAGGATTCCCGCCCATGGCCAAATGGAATTTTCCACATCCCTCTATACTTTGACTTCTGGCTTTATGACCTCTCACCCCAGAGCCCTAGGCCTCCAGGTTTCTGCTGTGTCACCTCTCTCTGCTGTGCTCCTATGACACACAGCAGGGCAGCGGGGACCCGTCAGCCAACGCGAGGACAAGGCAAAGCCTCAGGGCCCCAAATGGGTCTGGGCACGTGGAGCACAGAGCCTGAAAAACTTCCCTCTTTCTGTAACCTTTGAACACTCTGAACCCACAACACTGTGTTGAGTGTTGCAGTTTTCATGTTTCATAACCATCGCCTTCGATGTCTGCCTCCACCATCGGCCTGAAGGTTGCCCAAGTGCAGGACTGTATTCAGCTCTGCATTCTCCATGCTTGGCGCAGGTCCGTCCCCACGTATTAGCAACTGGTGAGATTTGTCATTACTCATCTTTTGGCCGCTCCAACCAGGCTGCACCCCCTTTGGACAGAATTAAGGGTTGAATTATGTCCCCCCTTCCTCAAAAAGCAGGTCAAGGTCCAAATCTACTGTACCTGTGGACTTATTTGGAAATAGGGGCTTTGCAGAAGAGATACAGAGAAAGTGTGGGACCACGGAGGCTGAGTTATGTGGCCACAGTCCAGGAACGCTAACAATTGCTGGCGACGATCAGAAACTGGGAGAGAGGCAAGAGTGTTCTCTCTCAGAGCCTCCAGAACTGTGAGAGAATAAATTTCTGATGTTTCAAGCCACCCAGTTTGTGGTAATTTGTCATAGCAGCCCCCAGGAAAGAAAGGAAGAAAGAAAGCCTCATTGAAAATGGAGTCAGCGGAGGGGCGGGGCACCTGGGTGGCTCTGTCTCTCAAGCGTCCAACTCTTGATTTCAACTCAGGTCATGATGTCAGGGTTGTGAGACTGAGCCCTGTACTGGGCTCCATGCTAAGCGTGGAGTCTGCTTGCGATTCTTTCTCTCTGCCCCTCCTGCTCATTCTCTCTCTGTCTCTCTCTCTCAAATAAATAAATAAATAACAGTTGGGAAGCCCTGAAGGGGGAGCACTCACATAAGTACCACTCGCTGCAGTGAGCATCACCAGCAGAAAGAATTATTTGTGACAAGAGAGGACATTTTTCACAAAGGAATTCCATCTCCTACTTTTAAGAAAAAGAAGGAAGATCCCTCTCCACCCCAGCAACAGCGCATTAAGCGCGCTTGCAGCCAACGAGAAACTGTCCAACCTCGAGCTCGCCTTCTTCTCCACTGAACTTTTGTTTAAAACACCCCTCCCCAATTTCCTCCTAAGACCTAATAGAAGCTGACCTTTCCTCCTCTCTCCAGACTTGCCTATGGTTCACCAGAGCTTGCACGGCGGAACTGCAATTTCTCTGCTATTCCTGAATAAACTCGTTTTGCTGGTAAAGTAACTGGCTCTCCAGTTTTTAAGGTTGACAATACAGACAACATAAAAATGAACCACATGGTCCAAGACCAATGGCGTCAACAGGCGTGTCTGAGGTCACATCACTCATTTACGCCTCACTGAATTCCACAGACACTGGTGCATGCTCTTCTCTCCGAGAAATCCCACGCTTTGAGTTAGTGCTTCTCCCGGACTCATAGCGACTCTGCAGGGAGTGATAAAAGCCCCAACAGACTGTCTGAGGCACCAAGAGAATGAAGACTCCCGGAGTTTCTGGCATAGCGCAGATTCTGCGGACGGTCCTGGACATGGGGCCCGACCCGTCAGGGGACACGCAGGTGACAGCGGGCGGCCAGCCGGCGCGCGCAGAGGGCAGGCCCGCGCTCCCCGGACCTCCGCCCGCATCCGCACCCGCCACAGGCGCCCCGGGCCCGGGCGAGCCCGACGCAGTGTCCACACGCCACGGCCAGGGCGGCCCTCCGAGCCCAGCGGGGACACGCCCCTGCAGGCAGCACACGCCGCGACGGCGGCCCCGGAGCGGCAAGCGAGGGTGAGTCTCCGCGGCGCGAGCCGCTCGCGGGCGCGTCCCGGGGCAGGTGGCCCCTCCGCCCCGCCCTCCCCGTGGCGTCACAGACCGCGACGCCCGGTGCGTCATCGCGGCGCGCCGTAGCCGCGGAGCCCTCGGCGCTGACGGACCATGGCGGAGGTTGGCAGGGCGGCTGTGCGGGACCCGGCTGCGCTACTCCCTGGGGGCTTCTGGGCGGCGGTGGCCGTGTGGCTGGAGAGGCCTCAGGTGGCCAACAAACGTCTGTGTGGCGTCCGCCTGGACGCCCGGCGGAGTGTTGGTTTTCCCCGGGCGGAGGCCTGCGGCCACAGTCCCAACACGAGCCCGGAGCAGGAGGAGCGGGCTGCGGCCAGACCCTGTCAGCGCTCCCCCAATGGGGGCCTGGGCCCCGGGCCGAGCACAGGCCCCGAGCTGGGCACGGCGGGTCGCGGGCCCGAGGAGTCGCAGCTCCGGCGCCCGCGAGGGGAGGACCCCAGGGAAGCAGCCGCCGCGGCTCGGCTCGCAGGGGTTCCCGGGCAGCCCGGCAAGGTTGGAGTCGGGGAGGGCGATTTCCCTGCCGCGGACCTGGATTCTCTCTGGGACGCTTTCTCTCGGGGCCTCGCCGGCGGCAATCCAGAGATGCTGGCCTTCCTTACCGGGTCCCGGGCGGGATCGCGGCCGGAGGCGCCAGGCGAGCTCGACGTGGTTCTCAGAACCGTCATCCCGAAAACAGGCCCTCATTGCCCGCTTGCTGCTCCGAGGAGAGAAGTAGTCGTGCAAGGTAAAAGAGTGTTTCTCATGGTGAGAGGTAGAGTGAGGGAAGCGAAAATTAACGAAAGGGGGTTTGGTCTTTGTGACTGCCTTCGGGGTGTCCCCTCGAGCGCCTGGAAGTTAGGCTCCTCCCCCCCCGAGGCGGGGACACAAGGGCCCACCTTCAGGAAGGGGCTGAGACCGCCCTGGCAGCTTTGAGGGAGCCTCGGGTCATTCTAGGGATGCAGCCTTGAGCTGTTAGGAACTGTGCCAGTGCGGAAGTCTTCAAGGCCAGCTTGAAGCCTAGTTGAGGCAGGGCGCAGAAGAGCCTGGCTGGAGTTTGGTCAGAGAGAGACTCTTTGGCACAGGATGCAGTTAGATTAAAAAGCATTCTTTGAACCTTAGGTCAGTGAAAAGGCTCTAAGGGTACTCACTACGTCAGGACCTTTGCGATGTCCTAGGGAGGTTGTAGATTTTTTTTTTCCTTACTGTTTTTTGAGGGGACATGTAGATATGTGTATTTCAAGTACAGAGAATGGGATCATTGTTGGGGGGCGAGTGTCTAGAATGCTTGAGGGACAAGGTGACGGAGCTCCAGACGTCGAATGATGAATAGGAGTTTAGCAGGTGAAGAGATTAGTGGAAGGCCCACTCCTGGAGCAGCTGCTGGAGGCCTCCCTCGGGTTCTTGCGTCTCAGAGCCTGCACCAGTCCTTCTCATGCTTGCAAACTCCTCTTCTGCCTCCAGCTGGAGAAAGTTCTTGGCTTTTCCAGGCCCCTGTGACTGGCCTGAGCCCACCTGCCTCATCCCGACTACTCCCTTTCCTGAGGTCTGGAGCCTCGTCACATCTGCAGAGTCCCTCTGTGCCTTGTCACATGGCACAGACTCAGGCTGTGGGTATTAGGGCGCGATCGCCTTCGAGAGGCTGTGGTACCACACACAGCAATGCCAAATCGCTGTAGGTGCCTTCCCTCCCACCCCCACTTCCCAACACTGTCTGCCTCTGTGCCCCTGCAAGACTTGAAGTGTCCGCTCTGCCAGGAGGCTCTCCGTGACCCTATCATGTCCAGATGAACTTAGGAGCTCTTCCAGCTTTGATCACTGGTGATTGATCACCTTTTACATCTCCTTCTACCCGACAGAGGTTGGTGAGTCAGTGCCCCCAAGGCCTTCAGATGTAGGCATCTGCATTCCCAGATTGGCTTCCCTGCAGGGGAGAAGCAGTGCTCCTCTACAGCGACTTTCTACCTTCAGCTCCTGCTGAGCGCATCTGCTGCGTGGGCCTGGCGCCCTCTAGGAGGCTCAGGATGCAGCAGTGGATAGGACATAAAACATGTCTGTGGTAAAGGGAGGCAGCGGGAAAGCCCCAGGAGAGCAAAGTCGGGCTGAGTCATGACTATGTTTAATACTGCTTCTGATAAAATGCTGAAGCAAGCGGTTTTAATTGGTTATCCCCCATCTTTTATTCCCCAGATGTCCTCAATGGAACTGTAACTTTTTTGCCTTTGGAAGAAGATGACAGAGGGAATGTAAAGGTTGAGATGAGCAACGTGTATCAAGTCCGGCTCAGTCAGAGCCAGAAAGAATGGTAAGAGCTACAGAATGGAGCCCTCTTCTAGGGCTGTGTGGCTTCTGTCACACGTCTGGGTAGCTGCAGGATTCAGGGTCACTGAAGAGCTGAAGGTGCCCTTGGTAGCTAAGGTGTGTGGGAACATGTTTCCTGTTTCTCGTTGGCCTTTCCTTGGCGTGTCTTTGTTCCTCTTGGCACTGGGCCTGGGTCTGTATTCTTTACAGTCCACGTAGCCGGGATGATGAGTAGCACCTAGGTTTAGCCGAATTCAAGTAATCGCAAATCCTTTTATTATTTTCTTTTTTACAACTTGGGAATGGGGAGTGAGGGTAGCTTCCTTTGTTATTTCTTGCTGAGGCTCATGTGGTTTTGGATGTAGTGGGTATTCAGTGGTGCTTATCACGAAAGTAGCAGTTCAGTAGCCCCCTTATTTCCATGTGGTATTTGGGCCTGTACCCCAAGTGTGAAATTTGGTTTACTTCCATTTGGTATTTTTTAAATGGAAAAGTCAGAGGAAGGGTACGTTCACTTAATCACTCTGCTGCTGCTCCTTTCCTGAGAGCCACATCTGTCTGTACTTTCCAGAACAACCTTGGGGATTGCTGTCTGTTAGATCAGACTGGGCTTGGCATGTGGCTTTGTATAAAGCAGAGGAGTACAGTGTGAAGACACTGTTGTGCAGTCAGATGGACCTGGGTTTGCCCACTAGCCGTGTGACCTTGGAACGTCGTCTCTGTGGTCCTCGGTCTTCTCACCTGTGCGAGGGGTTAAATAATTCTTAAGCCTCTGAGGAGGGGCCCAGGCTTCATAAGGACCTGTTGCAGGCATAGAAGCTCGATGGCAATACTTAGGGCCTGGCTGAAGCCTCTTAGAATTGTCTAGAGACTGTTCGAGGGACCTGGCCCCAGGACCTTCCTCGGCATGCTTGTGTTGGAAAGTGGGGACTGGGAGCAGGCATGTGGGGGAAAGCGTGTCTCCTGTGGCGCTCCCTCGGGGGGCGCCGATGGCAGAGCGGGTGGGTGGCCACCGAAGGCATGTGCTCAAGGCTGCTGTGCGGGTGCCTGGTGCCCGGTGTGGCGCAGCCATAGCAGCACGTGGTACGTTCCGTGCATGGCAGTCACATTCTTGGCTGACAGACTGAGGGCTCGCTCTCGGCTTCCTGCTTCCCGTCTTTCCGGGTTGGCGTTTCCTGTCCTCACGCCCCCGGGCAGCTGTCCCTTACATCCCTTTGGGCACTCGGGCCAGCTATTGAGCGCAAGTTAAATGGGGGTTGACTGGACCACCGCTGTAGTGCACAGCGCTCCTCATTGGCTCCTGTCATCACAGCAGTGTTGGTGTGCGCCCACCCCACCATGTGCTCTGCGACGAGCGGCGTGACGCAGAGACACGCTCCGCCACCAGGTAGTGCTAAGTACCACGGTGTGCCAGAAAACGGGTGAAACATGTCTCTGTTCCCACGTCCCCTTGGTAGCAAAGGCGGTGTTGTGTCAGGTCCATGCAGAGCGGGTGGCAGTGCCTCTGAGGACGGGTTGTCCCAAGTGAGACCTGAGCGGATGAGCAAGTAGGCTGTGGGGACTCTGGAGGACACCTGGGAGAAGAGCATGCGGCCCAGGGACAAGCAGGGGAGGGGCCTGACAGGGTGCGCCAGCCCCGGCAGGAGAGCTTCCGAGGTGACGGGATGGGAAAGGGGAGCAGCCCGAGTCCTTCCCAGGCTCTTCCCCCAGTGGGAGCTCCCCGGGCTGCGCCTCCCAGTGGACAGTCGGTGCCTGTTACTTGTGTCCTTCTGATGCTCAGCGTGGCGAAAATCCAGACAGTCCTGCTTCTGCCCCTCTCGCCCAGCTGCCCGTGCCTCCGCTTGTCCTTCGGGCCCCTGTTGAATGCCAACTTTTTTGTAGCCTTCTCTATCTGCCTGACAAACTGGATGCTCTCCCTTATTGTGCTGCCCGAATCGTGTCCTCAGACATTTTACTGTGCTCTGGGCTCATGGGTGTGAGCTTTTACTCACGTGTTCAGACACACGGACAGAGAGGACCTGCTGTGCGTCTGGCGCGGGGCAGGTAACAGTGGGCAGGAGACACACAGAACGCAAACTGTGAGCCGCAGGGGGCTGAGCACTCCACTTTTGGCCAGGAAGTATTTGGTGAGCCAGTTTACTCACACTTGAGTCACACATGTGAAAATGTACAAAAACAGAATGTTAGAAAAATCCTGAGACATCTGGAACCTGGCTAATCAGAACCTGGCTAATCAGTGCGTGAAGCAGACGGTAGGAGGAGCTTTGCTACTTGTCCATCCTTCTGATGGGCTTCATAGGATGGGTAGACGCATTTTTAACAGCGTTTATAAGAGAAGAATTCTTTCTGCTTTTAAAAAATGTGTTTTTCTCTCTCTGTTGAAAGTTCTGCAGCTAGTTCCCAATCGTTGGGTTTCAGGTCAAATATTCTGTAATTATAGCTGTCTTAACATGTACTCTTTTTTTGGTAAATGTTTAATTTAAAAATAAGAATTGAAACTAGCTCTGCTTATTCATATTTCTCTTATTTTTAAAGGTTCATATCTATTTTAATTTTCTGTCCAGAGAGATGGCATTCAGATGGCATTGTTTACCCCAAACCCTCCTGGCTGGGAGGAGAGCTGCTGGCCAGGCTGGCCCGGTGGTCTGTGGAGAGCAAGAGGAGCGGATTTAAGAGCACCCTGTCCCTCATTTCCATCATCAGATACAGCAAGACGTACCAGATGCTCAAGGAGAAGTATAAAGACACGGTCAAGGTAACTGAGGAAACATTCATGATCCCTCGTTTCGATGAGGGGACGGCGACCGGCCTGTACCAGGTGAAACCATTTTTCCAGTAAACTTTGTGGTGTGTGCAGACACAGACGTCAAGTCAAAACACAGCCACCTAAAGGCCCACATTGCAGGCTGTGTTTTGACATACGTAGGGATGCAAACTGCAAAGCTGTTGACAGATGGAAAAGGATCTTTTTCTTTTCTTTTTTTTTTTTTTGCACATTGCTAATTTTTTTCCAAGCAAATAAAAGGAAAGTATTTGAATGAAAATAATTGGATATTAGTTACAAAATTGCTACATTTCCTTATATAAATTTAAGGATGTTTAAAGAAAAGATATGAAAAATTAAAGTGTAAAAGCATATATTTCCATAAAGGAGATAAATTTCAGAACATGTCCTTAACTTTATATTTAAGATATAAAGAGAAAGGAACAGCAAACCTCTGTGCTCACACCCGGAGGAAGAAATAAAGCTTCCCTAATGTGGCTGAACTTCTTTTGTAGTCTTCCCGGCATATGGCCCTCTTTCTGGAAGGAACCATGATTTGTCATTTATGTATGTGTTTTTCTGTTTTGTTTTGTTTGAGGTGGGTTGCAGAGGAGAGAATCTTAAGCAGGGTCCGTGTTCAGCGCAGAATGATGTGGGGCTCGATCCCATGACCCTGAGATCATGACCTGAGCTGAAATCAAGAGTCAGACGCTTAACTGACTGAGCCACCCAGGCACCCACATGTGTTTTTTGTTGTTGCTGTTTTGTTTGTTTGTTTTTTATCAGTTAGCTATTGTCGTGTAACAGAGCACCCCAAAGGTCACAGGCTGGAGACAGTGACCTTTTTCATTCTTGCTGAAGTGTGTGGGTCCTAGACCTGGCCGACCTAAGCAGGGGGCTCCTTCTCTTTCAGATCCTGGCCTGCGAGGCCTTCATTATCTTATTAACTATTCAGTTCCTTCCGGAAAGGACTTCATCTATTATTCCGGCCTTTGCAGTTGTCCTTAGTGAGACAGCCTGACTCGTCTGACCTCCATGACTAGACACGGAAATCGGAATGTGTAGCCTTGTTGTGGGTTTTTCCTCTTCTGCTGGCTGTCCGTTGTGCACGTGACCCGTGTGAGCAGTGAGGTGTCAGGCTTGTGCGGCCAATGTGCTGCAGCTTGCAGAGCACCTGCTGGTTGTCCCGTGTGGCGGCGAAGGCTTCAGCATGCAGACAGGGAGATGGGGACCACCTGCTGAGTGCTTCTCCTGAGCAAGTGGCCATCCGGCACCAGCAGACCAGAGGCCTGGAGCCCCAGCCTCCTGACCCCTTTGCTTTCCTCGTCCGAGCATCTTTGTTCATTTTCCTCATCTACATAAATGATGGAGCGGGCGAACTGAGCATTTTCCTCAATGTCCAGTTGCCTCATCTAAATAGCTACATAGGTTGTTTTCGTTGCAAAATCTTGCTTTGGACTGCATTGCTCTTGATGTGTCCCGTTACACACATATGTGGTAAAGGTTTTGCGTGTCTTTATGCCACGCTCTTACTGTAAGAGAGGGATCATCAATGTCTGCCTTTGGAATGAGCTTTTTTAAAAAATTTTACTGCCTGGTTAGTCTCATTTGACTTATGCTGATGGGGATACTTTACGTGTAGTGAAATGGCAGGGTGATGAGTGAACAGTTACATAGGCTCTGGAAAATGTTTTAGGTGTGGCCTGAAGTAACCGATCCCGAAAAGTTTGTGTATGAAGATGTGGCCATCGCTGCGTACCTGCTGGTAAGCACATGTTCAGTCACCCAAGCCCTTCTGGGGTCGGGGAGAGTCACTGCCTGCCACCGCTACCGGTGGAGAGCAACATTCATCAAATCCATAACTTAGCATGCCGGCTTGGTAGCGTGTCCACTAGTTTGTGTGTGTGAGTGAGGAACACGTCTGCGCCGTGAGGCCAGACTGCAGGGGCTCCAGCTCAGCCGGGGCGTTCCTGACGCACCCTCACCACGGAGGCACTGCACCACTCATGCCGCTGACAGGACCCCTCCACTCCTCGGTCCGTCCTTAGCTAGCTCACTAGTCCCCAGATTGGGGTGTGCCCTTGACTTAATGGTCTTGATTTTCTTATCTAACAAATGTTTAGGCCAGATAATTTCTAATTTCCTTTCTTCTGTGATTCTCAGAGCCTTTTTAGAATAGCATATTTTGCTTTGATTATCAGAGTCTACAGCCTAGAAGAACCAAGAAGGCATGAGGTACAGTACAGTACTGCGGTACAGTAATCTGTTGCCCAGAAAGGACCACTTTCATGTGGACTCTTGCTGGCAGGGGACAGCTTCGATGCCCCTGCGGCATCAGGCGAGGGCAGCTCCCTCTGTGTCACCTGCGCAGACCCAGGGACCCAGACGAGGCCTGTCTGCCTGTCCTGGATATGTGATTTGTAATGCCATGCAGGGCTTGTGTCTGAATTATTCTTGGAGGGAATGAATCAGAAACTGATTTTTTTTTTTTTTTTTGTAACTTAGATTTTGTGGGAAGAAGAAAGAGCTGAGCGGGGCTTGACGGCCAAGCAGTCCTTTGTTGACTTAGGATGCGGGAACGGTCTGCTGGTGCACATCCTGAGCACAGAGGGGGTAAGGTGCGCTTCCTTGGCCGTTCTACTTCCTTTTCCTGCACAAGGGTCCTTGAGGTCTTTCTCTGCTGGTACGAGCTGGATCCAGAGTCTGCCTGGTTGTTGGGCTGGGACCGAGGAGAGTGGGCGGCCTGTGCAGCTGGATGACAGGCTTTGTGCAGCACGGCTGTCATGGCCGTCAGGGGCTCTTTGGGGAATGCGGCATGTCAGGGCACTAGAGGGGGAATGAGAAGCAGTGGGTTCTGCCCCCCAGAAGCTGGAGTCCCGGCTCAGAGGCCAGTTACACTCCTGCTGTGATGGACACTGGTGACACTGGTGTGGGCGCCATTTCTGGATCTGTGAAGTAAAGGCGGGATGTACTGCCCCTGTCACTCGGAGCAGGCAGTTCAGTGTGAGCCACGAGCTGCCCAGGCCGGTGCTTCGGGCCGGCGTCCAGCTTTCCTACGGAGTCACTGTGGGAGGTGCGGTGCTGTCACCCGGTGACCCCGGCTGACTTCTGATAGTAGCATTCTGCCCTGTGCAAGAGGCACTCTGTCCACAGCTGTAGGAACTTGATATGGGGTTGTTAGAATGTACATTTTATTTGCTTTATTAAGAAATGAGTTTGTAATGGTAATACCTATAAACAAGGTGTTGGGGGGGGTCAAGCAATCAGGTGGTGACCTGCAGGCTGGGAAGTGAGGAGGATGGGCTACCTCATGCATGTCTCTTCTCCCCGCAACTTGGAAATGAGCACAGTTGCCCCGTGAGAGCCGGTGGGCACGGGCACGCATCCTGGGGGAGAAAACAGCTGCAGGGGATGGGCCTTGTCTCCTGGCAAGCTGGAAGGGCGGACATGCTGGGGTCCGGACTTGACTCTGGGCCACGAGAGAGGGGCTCTGTGTCCAGATGTGTCTTCTGGGCCACTGGCTTCAGACACGTTCCCACACGACTCCCATTTCCCCTTCGTGAAGACTTCTGGTGACCCTTAGCAGAGTGCAGGCCCTGACCTGTTTCAGTTGCTGAGAAACTGCGGGTGCCATCCGGGTCTCTTGCACTTCACAATGGTGGCAGTCCCTGCAGAGTTTAATTTGTCTTGCTCACTTATTATGAAGTACCGATGTTGACCTTTGATTTCTGAAATTCTTTTAGCATCCAGGCAGAGGAATCGATGTCCGAAGAAGAAAAATCTGGGACATGTATGGACCACAAACTTGCTTAGAGGTACTGACCCTGTTCATTTGTTTGCTCTCAGCATGTTTGTCCCCTAGGGGCCGTTGTTTTCACGAGTGTGCCCAGTGCTGACCTTTCTAGGTGCCTCATGCGTGTTAACTAGTCCTCACGCGGTGCCAGCAGTCAGTCCCTTGTCCCTCCCACTGTGCCTGGAGGGCAGGGCACACGCACACTGCTTCTCGGCTCACCTCCTGTTCTTGACCGTGTTTTCAGATGACAGGTTACACTACATAAATCCTCGTGCATCCGTCTTAGTTCACTTAAAAAAAAAAATCTGTCATAGGCTGAACTTGAGAAGTTTGGGGATGATATTGTCATAATGGTTTTCAGAAAGGTTTTACTTCAAATACGCTTTCAGAAAGAGTTTTGATGCTATGAGATGCATCCAAAAAAAAAGGGAGAAAAAGTAGAGATTTGCATATTTACCAAATATTTGAATGCCATCAATCTGCCAGGCTTTCTCAGGTGCTGGCATTTCAACAGTGACAAAAGGCTCCTGCCCTCATGGGGGTGGGGAACACCCATGGGTACAGAGTGGGTGCTGGGTGGCAGGTGTGGTACATGCTGAGGAGGGTGAGGGGGCCTCTGTGGGGCCAGGTCGTGCTGTGTATATAGGGTGGCCGGCAGGGCCTCTCAGCAAGGGGCAGGTGCTGAGGACTCCAGGGTAGGAAGGTAAAATGCAGCCGGGCTGGGGCGAGGCTACAGGTGTGTGGACACCTCGTGGAGCTATGAAGGTGGGCTACACGTTTGCTGTGAGCCATCTAGTGGCCCGGCCTCCAGAGCCCATGACCCTTGGGCCACAGTGAACCCAGGTGCCTGCAGCCTTGCTCAGGAGTAGCTCAGTTGTCCTGGTACCAGTCAGAGAGGAGTTTCTCCCCAAGGGAGAAAGTGACCAGCCCCCTGAGCAGCAGTCCCACGTCAGGTCTGGTGTCCAGTGTTCATGGCGTTGGTGTCTGGTCGCGGCCTCCGAGCTGGGCAGAGTGCTGACGGCACTTCTCATGCTCACTTTTGTGGACCACGCAAGGGCGCATGGACGAGAGTGAGCCCCCGGGCAGCTCACGGACGTCACAGTTGCTCTTTTAGCCCCCACTCGGCCTGCTGCTCTTGGGAAACAGATCTCAGCTCTGCCATTTCATCTGTCAATAGTAAGACTCTGAGACTCTTTTTATACTTTCTTTTAAAGTTGAGAATAATATTGCAAAAAAATAAAAAAGATTCGTGGAAGGGAGTTCATGGCTGCCTCTGTGGGCTCGTTGTCTTTATCTGCACCGTCAAAAGCCGAGCATGAGTGTCCAGCTTCTTTCAAAATCCTCATTCGATTGTAAGCAAGAAACTGCTAAGAAAAAAACCACCCATCTTAAATATAATAGCAGCTGTAAATTATGTTTTTATTCATGCAGGCCATTTAAAGGGAAATAGGCAACTAAATCTAGATGGGGTGGGAATAGAGTATAATATCAAAGGTTTGTTTTTCCTGCTTTTAAATTATGTATAAATCCATTGAGCCGTACTGTCTTCGGTGTTTTAATATGTAAGTAGAAGTCCAGATGCTTATTTAAGAACCAGAAAGATTGTAGAGTTTAAATTCCACTTTTGTATACATCACGTCTGCAAAAGACCCATAGTTTTGTTGTCCCGAGGGATGACCTTGAACGTGAGGTTGTCATAATGTCTTCCCAGTTTGTTCTGATCAAGAAATGGCAGCTGCGCTTGCTTCCCTTGGGGGTTCGTTCTTCAGTTTTAAAATTAGGAGGATTTTGAGTGGTCGTATCTTTTCTCTCTGTCTTTCCAGTTCTTACCAACAGACCCACTGTTGCGGCCTGACTTTGATCATTCATGGTGGCCATTCTTAAATCATAAAATCAAGCTGTATTTGGTTTAATTACAGAATGGTTAACCTGCCTCTGGAGTGGGTTTTTTACTTGGTGTCTGAGTGTTTACAGAGGATAGCACAGTAGCAAACACTTACTCTGCTAAACAGAAACCGCCCCCTGCCCCCGCCTCTGTTACCTTTCCTGCGCTGTCATGGGTGTGCTTCATCACGTACGTCCACACATGTGAGGTTGCATGATGCATTATTTACACACTGAAATCAACTTCAGACCTGCTTGCTTTCGACTCACTTGCTCCTAAGGCCCTTTCTGGCTCCAGTGTCCTGGAGTGTGGAAATGGTTGCTTTGTCCCACCTCCTGCGGCTCCTTGTATGTTAGTGCACATTTGTATGGATCGAAAAGCAATTAGCCCTCGGAGGGCATTGTTGGTTTCTCTAGAGATGACGCTAGAAGCCGCCCTATTTCATGGCCTGTGGGGCAGACACAGCTCTACCTTCAGGTGCCTGCCCAGTATCCACGAGGCCCCGGGGGGCCAGGGGGTGCCTGAGACCACGCCCAGCAAGCCGAGGTTCTGCGGGGGGCCTTGCCTCAGTAGCTCTGTGCTGCTCTACTGAACACGTGGTCTTGTTTTGTGTTTTCCTTTAGGAAGGTGCAATCACACCAAATGATAAGAACCTTTTCCCTGACGTCGACTGGTTAATTGGTAACCATTCCGATGAACTAACACCATGGATACCTGTTATTGCGGCCAGGTGAGCAGGCGGTCCAGGTGGCAGGGCAGATGGCGGGGCATGTTGTGGTGCCCAAACCTCGCTGTCCACATCTAGCTGCCTGGTGTCTGTCCAACACTGGAAATGGAGCTGGTTCAAATTGTTGAAAGGATCATGTGCCGAGTCTGTCGGGTCTGGGTTAAATTCTGCCTGGCTGGAAAAGATAAGGTCGCAGATGTGCTTCATGGCATTCTCCTATTGAACGGTGTGATGAAAACTGATGACTTCTGCGGTGTTAATAGCCAGTGTTGAGAGACAGGTCATGTTTTGGAAGTTTTTTTCTGACAACAAGGGTCGGTCGTCAAAGGAAAAGTCTGTGAACATTGTGACACTTGCAGCAATATTTAGTTCTTGGCCCAGGGGCTGTACGCAGGGTGGCGGTGCTTCTAGGTTAGGAGGAGACGTCGCTGGCCTGAAGGTTTTGTGGCTGTGGCTCCCCATCCAGGGTCCTCGCTCTCGGAGGATGATGTCAGTCAAGGAGCACGTCTTAGTCTTTGCACGTCTGCCTCCAACGTCCCTCCCTCCCAGCCGGAGCCTCAAGCGCTTCGGGACGTCTTACGTTTCCGTTGGCCAGAACAACTGCAATGGGGAAAGTTTTTTTTTTTAAAGATTTTATTTATTTATTTGATAGAATGAGAGAGCGAGAGAGTATGAGAGGGGGAAGGGTCAGAGGGAGAAGCAGACTCCCCGCTGAGCAGGGAGCCCGATGTGGGACTCGATCCCGGGACTCCAGGGTCATGACCTGAGCCGAAGGCAGTTGCTCAACCAACTGAGCCACCCAGGAAAGTTTTTATAAAGGTAATTAGATTCATGTTTTATGGGGAAGGCATGCCATGCTACATTGTTTCTAGAAATTGAATTAGGGAGAACTGTTACTCGTTTTCTCATAAGAAAACATGAGCAGCCACCAGCACACATACGTATGTTACCCCAATGCACGATGTGGCTTTCCGCTGAATTTTGTTTTTTGTGGATTGATTTTGAAGGTCCTCCTACGGCTGCCGTTTCTTTGTCCTTCCCTGCTGCTTCTTTGACTTCACTGGGAAATACTCCCGAAGGCAGAGCCAGAAGACTCAGTACCGAGAGTACCTTGATTTCATCGTGGAAGTGGGGCTGGCCTGCGGGTTTCACGTCGAGGAGGACTGCCTGCGCATTCCCTCAACCAAAAGGGTGCGTCCTGGTCGCCGGGGCCTCACCGTCCTTGGTGAGGTGCTGGCGTCTGGATGGGGGGCTGAGGGCTGTGTAACAGAACCACAGGGGACACTGGTGTTCAACACTGGGTGCGATCCAGGAGCTGCCTGTGGTGATCTCAGCGTCTCGGCCACAGGTGGTGTTTGGAGGGCTTGTTTTGCCCCCACGGCCCCTCCCGTGGCGGCTTTCCAGGACCCTTGCCAAGGCTTCATTTCCTTCCCAGAAACTGCGCGTGGCCCTCGGGGACCTGTCCAGAGTGGGCGTCAGCCTGACTTGTGTAGCGGTGGCCCGAGTGTTGTCTGAGGCTTCCTGCTCTAAGTTCTGACTCCTCGGGCTCCCCAGTGATTGGCCGAAATTGAAGTTTGGTTCAGAAGTTCAGAATGATTCCCATTTTCTCCTGATATGCTTCATTAATTCAGATTTACCTGAAAGGTAATTTGCCCAGACAGACCTTTACCCTTTCCCAGTCTGTGAAAACAGCAAGTGTGCCCTCTGTGACCCTGCCAGGTGGTCAGGGCGGACTCGGCCATGTTCCCGCTCACCCTCTGAGCCATCATTCTGTGATAATCTCTTATAGCTTCCTTTTATCAGACTTCATGGCCGTCAGTGTGCTTTTTTGACCAGCAAAACACAAAAACCTGTCATATCCAAATTATAAGCTTGATTGCTTGACGTGGCAAAAAGGATCCAAGACAGGGGTGAGGTGAGCTCTTCGCTCTGCCACCTGCTAGCCATGAAGTCCTGGGCACATTGCACACCATGCCCGTGTCCCCGTGTGCCCAGCGGGGAGGAGGTAACGCTCACGGGTGGCGGTGAGTGCGGCCCACTCGGCCGCAGGTACGTCATTGCTGCCCACGCGGTCACTGCTCAGGTCACTCTGAAAGCTTCCTTTAGGACCCCGCTTCGGAGCCGTGGTGTCCTCGTAATGAATGCCCTCATGTCGGCAGGTCACTCCACTGGAGCTGTACTTGAGTCTGGGAGCCGCTGGGATTTGGGTCATGTGGGTACAAGGCCCACAGTTCGGGTTTTTGCACTGGTCTTTCCATTGTCTTGCTGGAGGCCAAGTACCAGGCCTTAACCTCAGTCTCAGCTTTCTTTTTAAAGATTTTATTCATTCGAGACACAGAGACAGAGAGAGAGAGAGAGAGAGAGCACGAGCAGGGGGAGAGGCGGAGGGAGAAGCAGGCTCCCTGCCGAGCCAGGAGCCAGACGTGGGGCTCGATCCCAGGACCCTGGGGCCATGACCCGAGCCGAAGGCAGACTCTTAACGACTGAGCCGCCCAGGCGCCCCGAGTCTCAGCTCTCTTGTAATTCGGTGGTTTGGGGGCAAATGGAAGAGCAGGTGGCCACACACAGTGGCTATTCAGTGAGGGCTGATGATGCCCCACGTGCTTGTTGCCACGCAGAGACGTTACGTCACTTGCCCAGGATCACGCTGGGGCAGAGTGAGGGGTGCCTCTGATGCGATTAGAGCTGCTTTCTTTCAGTGCCTGTAACCTGGCTTTGTAGCTCCCGCCCGGGGAGGAAGTCCAGAGACGCTGTGCTCGGGGGGGTGTCACTGGACCAGCCTCGCTTACCCCGGGGACGCCTGTGCAGCATCCTCCATCTGGATGCACTGAGGAGGGAGCATGGAATGAGCATTGGGGCCGCATCAGGCCCGGAGAAGGACGGCTCATTTTGAGAGCTCGAGCTTACCATCGGTGTCTGCACTTTGGGGTCATACCAGGGCTCCCTCGAGTGAGTGCTCAGAGCGGGCCCGGCCGTAAGCTCTGTAGGTGTGGACTCAAGGTTTATATGCTTGTGTTAGGGCTGTCAGAGTCCGAGCCTTGAGATTTTTTCATGGGCTTTTGCTTTTGGTTTAGTTTGGACATTTTTAGGATAAGCATTTCTTTCATGATAAATGTCTAAAACTTTAATTTGTATTGCAGAACAAGAGAATTGAATGGAAACCGTGGACATACTGGTAAAATACTCTGCTGTTTTTCACATGCAGGTTTGTCTTTTTGGGAAATCCAGAACATATTCACCTGCTGGAGAAGGTTCCATGGATGAGCAGAGAACCCAGTACATTAACAGCAGGAGGGGCCGTCCCATGAGCCCACCTGGCGAGGCGCCTGCCCCTCCTCCACCCCGGGCCACTGTGGGACACGCAGGTCACCCCGACGGGCACCAGGCCCCGGACGCCGAGACTGCCAAGGAAGGGGCAGAGGCCCGAGCCGACCAACTCTGGCTGTCTGGATTTCATCCTAGAGAAAAAGCTGAGCGCGTGAGGAATTGTGCCACCCTCCCTCGAGATTTTATTGACCAAGTGGTTTTGCAAGTGGCACATTTGCTGTTGGATGGAGAGCAGTTAAACACAGGAAGTACTCCAAGCAGCAGCTCGAAGGCCTGGAACCGGGGAGGTAGGCCCCCGGCCCCTTGGCCCCCAGACCCCAGCAGCTGCGTGCCTGCTGGTTTTCAGGCAGTGGCTCGGCTCTCCTTTAGGACCAACTTAAAATTGTGTGGTTGTTTTTAATTACGAGTATTTTAAAGAGACATCGAAGATGAACAGGCCACTATACACTCATTGTTAGAAGTTTTCCTACAGTTCCCATTAATGTGCAGGACTCCATTCCCTCAGAGCAAGGTGCTGAGGGCAGAGGGGTAATTAACCTTTACAAAATTGTCCAGGCTTCAGGGTGTGGAGCCCTTTATTTTCAATTTGTAGGAGTTATCCAAACCAAAAACAGAGTCCTGAATGCCGGGAAAGTGCGCTGTCCTCTTGACAATAAGGTAACATTTCAGAGACAGTCTGATAACGTGATTCTCTTTGAAATCCCCAAAGTGCAAAACTCAGACGTGATGAGAGAAAATCGTATCTGATTATTCTCATGGGATGAGTAACATACTGAAATGAGTGGCATTCAAGAGAGATAGGGACCAAAGTGTGAGCTTCCGTTATTTTTGTAGAGTGTTTGGGGTCCTAGGCGGCTGGCTGGTCCAAGCTGGTTTCTTTCCTGCCCGGTGGCGCCAGAGGGCGCTGTAGAGCTGGCTGGGTCTGGCAGCACCAGAGACTTGCCTCAGTTTTTGGGCCATTGGAGGACCTGGGGGAGCCCTCCCTCACGCTGTCAGGGGCTGATGCCTGGCTGGCTTGTGAGTGGGGTTCCTGGGAGGAGGCGGCAAGCCTGGCCTCCCCGACCCGTGATGCTGTCCTGCTCTGAGCCTGCACGGCTCTCGTGTACTTGCCATGGGGCAGTGCCGTGGAGCATCTCCCCTTCTCTGCGAATCACTGACCCTGGTGGCGTCTGATCAGGAGGGCCTCTCTAGGGGTGTGGTGGCAGCCCCGGCCAGAGCCCCCCGCTGCAGGTGGCTGAGCATCCATGTAATTGGGCGCCAGCCTGAGGCGCCATGGACTGCTCTGTGGGTCGGCACCCCACTTCCTGGTGTGCCATGCTGAGGCGGGGCCTGAGTGAAGAGGAAGGGAAGCTGGGTGGGGGGCTTCCAGTGGGACCTCGAAGGGCAGGGAGTCCGCAGCAGGCGGGCAGGCACCTCAGAGACATTTGGGTGAGTCTGAAAGTGTGTAGTTTGACCTTCAGACCCCAGGAATGACTGAGCTTAGGAGGTGCTTGCCTGTGCCTGGGACAGAACTCTGGCCGTGGCAGACTGGGCCTTCTAGGCTCAGACGTAGATAGCGGGTGGCTCTGAGTCTCGGGTCTTGGGCCTGCCTGTCCAGCGGAAACACTTGCAGAGCTGGTAGGCCATCCTCCACGCATGGGTCTCAGTGTCTGGGGCTGGCCTGAGGTGCTCCAGTGGGGTGGACCTGTGCCCTTGGCCTCTCAGCCCAGAGGTTCCTGCCCTCAGGTTGTCTTCCCACCTTTTGGTTGCTGGAATTTAGTGACCCCTCCGCAGCCTGCCCCTGTGATGTACGAGCGTGTCTGTCCCCAGGCCCTAAGTGATCTTTGTAAGGGAGCACAGGCAGGAGAAGGTGGTCCCTGCCCTCACAACTGGGTTGGGACACGCACACGGCAGAGGACAAGCCACCGGGAGGTGGCCTTGTGGAGCTGTGCATGTGAGCACCAGCGTCGGGCGCTTGTGCGGGACCAGACCTGGGAGGGGCAGGGAACCGCCCAGGCCGGTTTCAGCCTTCTCCTTCGATGTCCTGCTTGCTCTTGGAACAAGTTTGAGGCAGCTGAGAGGTGCGTCTTGAAGGCCGGCCGGGCTTTGGTAGATGGAATCCCAGCCACAGAACGGCTGCCCCCTGGGCGTCCGGGGCTGGGCCACACGCCAGCACTGCTTTTCTGTGGCAGGCAGGGCTGTCTCTGCTGGCCTACAGAGGTGTTGGGAGGGCGTGGGTGAGACCCCAGGTGCAGGGCCTGGCAGGTGGGAAGTCCCTGGCGTCCCAGGTGGTGGCAGCCTGGCCCGTGTCGTTCAGCTCCATGTTGTGTGGTGTGGACTCAGAGCAGAGGTACATCTCACGGCCCCTCCTGACGTGCGTGAGGGGCCGGAACTGACGCAGCTGGAACCGTTGTGCCAGGGCGGTGAGCCTGCCTGGTTAACAGTCTCCAGTGGCCTTTATATTGTTGGGGAAACCCGATTTTCCACAGGAAGCCTCTCCTTGGCGGAAGTAGCCCGTAAGCTGGACAGGGGGACGCTGCAGAGGTTGAAGCGGGAATGTGGAGGCCTGCAGACGCTGCTCAGAAACAACCATCAGGTGTTTGAAGGTAAGGGGATTGAGCCTTGAAACGCGCTCGTTTCTCAGGTGTGGATGACAGGCTCCACCTTTCCCGAGTCAGAATGTTCTTCCCCACAGATTCTGCCATCACTGCCCCCACTTTTTCTATTAAGTAAGGTTTGCTTTATTTTTAAAAAAAAATTTTTAAAAATTTATCTATTTTAGAGAGAGTGTATGTGTGCACGCAAGTGATCGGGGGGGGGGCGGGGCAGGGCAGAGAGAGAGAATCTCCAGCAGGCCCCTGGCCTCCCAGCCCGATCCCAGGACCCTGAGATCATGACCTGAGCTGAAACCAAGAGTCAGATGCTCAACCGACTGAGCATCCAGGCACCCCTGAGTAAAGTTTGCTTTAGAGATTTAGACTCCTAGGAAAGTGGGGGAGAGAGGATAGAGTCCCCCTGCCCATGCCCAGCTTCTGCCCTCTGAGCGTCTTCTGCCAGGAAGGGACGTTGGCCCCACCTCTTCTCTGATTTTCTCCAGTCCAGCCCCCGCAGGCACGGTGCCCCCCAGGCCTGGCCTTACCCCTGTCCGGGATGTGCTCACGCCTCACACAGAAGGAAGAGCAAGTTTGAAAGCCTGCTGGCGGGGTGTCACTGGACGACTTTCTGGGTGGGGGATTGTTATTTGCGTTGGCTCTTGGCTGCCTGCAGACTGGAAGCATCCCGAGCTCCCAGCTGGGCCCTGGGCAATTAGAGGAGGAAGCCCCGATGCCTGTCCAACTCCCCTGACCTGCATGCCTGCCTCCAGGCCCTTGGGAGCGAGGCTCTCATTCCCCTCTTGCCCCGCGCTCCAGGCTCCCGGGACGGCCAGGAGGTAGAGGAGCCCAGGAACCTGTGCCCTTTCACTTGGTCTGCCCCTGGCCTCGCGGGGCGTCCGGGCTGGCGGGGAGGGGGACGTGGAACAAGCGCTCACATGGGGACCTGGGGTGGAAAGAAGTTCCCTTATTTAGGGTGTTCACGCATACACCCGTCGTCCAGACGGTCGGTCCTTCGTCCTGTTTCCTTCTTGAAGCTCTTTTACCTGTGTTCTTTGTGGAATTATTTTCGAGCGGATCCCAGCCTGCCTGCTCTGTCACCCCTGAGCACTGCCGCGAGGGGCATCTGGCATCACCGAAGCGCCATAGGCACGTTTCTGCCAGAGTCTCGGTGTGCAGGAAGGGGGCGGGGGGGCCGTGCTGGGGACTCGGCAAAGAGGAAGAGGAACCGCACTCCTGTAGGGCCTGAGCTGGGGAGGACTGGAGTATGAGGAGTGGGGTGGCCTGCAGCCCCAAGTGGCCGTGAGGAGGTTTTGGGCCTCTGTGATGGGGTAGTGGTGCCACCCGTGTGGGTGACTCCAGTCCACCTGCGGAGTCACCGTGCGCCTGTCCCCTGCCACGTCAGGGGGCCTTGAGGGTCAAGTGCAGGGCCCAGTTCAAGTCCCCCCACAGCACAGCATCTGGCTCCTTCGACTTCATACGAAGAAGCACATTTCTGCTTCCACTGTGAGGCGTGCTGTGAAGGCCGGCTGTGGGCTAGTGCCGGGTATCACTTTTCTGGGAGGCGGGTGCAGGGCGTGCACATGGTAGGGTCTGAGTGATGGCGCACGAAGATGTGCTGAGAACGTGGGTGGAGAAGACCGTGCCCCTGGGGCCACCCTGCAGCTGCTGAGCAGGGCTCCTCTGAGGGCGTGCTGCCTGCTGGCCTCGTCCCTGCCCTCACCCCACCCACTCCTGCCAGGCTTATGCCCCCAGGTTCCCCCGTGTGGCCCCCTGGCTTGTGTTCCACTCACCATGCTCTTTCCTCTGCTGCAAGGCTGCCTGCTGGCTCCCTGCCCCCATCCCAGTGCCCTGGCCCTTCTGCTGTCGCCATAGTGCTAGACCCCAGCCTGGACACCTTTACTACACTGCTTCCCACCCGGTCCTGCCTCTCTGGGCCCCCAGGGTTTGCATGTGCTTCTGTCCCTTGGCCTCCTGCATTTGGCCACATCACCGCTCCAGCTTGACTGTGCACTCCCTGTGGGTGGGGCCGGGCGTTGCTCTGCAGCCCAAGGGGTGGCCCGGAGCCCATGTCACAGGATGAAGATGGAGCTGCCCGGTGAGGAAGACACACTTCCCTGACTCCTCCTCCTAGGGAGATGATGAGTAGGGGGAGACCACTGAGTCCCAGAGTTCCCGATCCGTAAGGTGCCACCTGTGAGCAGAGCCCAACGCAGGAGAAGGGGAGGCCCACAGGCCTTGTCTAGGGATGTGGGCAGTTATCTGAGCCCCAGGATTTGGGTCAGTCCCCACACCCCCACCCTTGTGCAGCTGCTGAGAAGGGTGGTTGGACAGTGACTCAGGGCAGGTGGCCACGGCTGAGAGAAGCACATCTGTCCACTCCCAGCCTGTAAAGCTAAGGGAGTTGGGCACTGTCACCTTCTCTTCCTTGCCCGTGTGTGCATGTGACACAGGAGAGCTCTGGTGAGCGTGGCCCGCATGTGTGCACGGGAAAGCTCTTGGGTATGCTTGGGTGTGCGCGGCCCCCCACGTGTGCATGGGAGAACCTGGGTGTGTGTGGCCCCCACGCATGCACGGGAGAGCTCGGGTATGCAAGCTTACAGTGCCTTTGGGTAGCTCGGGTGCCCTTGTGGAGCTAGACTGTTTTCGTTTAAACCTGGCTTTGCTCGTGGAAATGCTTGTGATGGCAGTGAGCCCTGTAAGCAGAACTGGAGTGTCCATGGTTGGGATGGCTGCAGAGGCTGGGGCGTGGGCGGGCAGGGCCCCCTGTTGGGGAGTGGAGCCCCTGGGAGGAGGGCGGACTTCCTGAACCGGCAGTTCCTGCTCCAGCTGAGCTCTGGCACAGCGGCCTGGGATGTGCTCTCCGTTTCACAAGGCCTTTGTCCGTGAAAACACTCACTGCAACCCAGAAGGGCCGCTCTTCTGTTTTTCCCAGCATGGCTTTTTGTTTGACTTCAAGAAATTGTAGCTTTTTTTTTTTTCCACCATAAATACACATGTATGTGATTGCTTTTCTATGCAGTTCACATGGGGGGGCACATTTATTTTTGGAAACACTTCTGGGTAGGCGGCTTGGGGACTGAGCTCTGAGTAAACACTTTGCTCACAGTCATGCAAAAACTATGCACCGAGGCTGCTCTTATCTCCGAGGGTATTTTAAATGAGAGTGGCTAGTTTCCGGTCGTGTTTACAGGGCCAAGGAGGTAAGATTGATTTTGGATGCCCTCAGTTCCTCCAGCGCTGAGCACCTTGTGAGGGACGGGCCAGTGCCTGGGTGGGTGCGTGCTACCATCAGGGGCGGTGGGGGGTGGGGGCACGGTGGATGCAGCCCTGGCCCCATGGTCCCTGCCCGCGGTGCTGTCACTCCCTGTGCTCGCCATGGTGAACGTGTGGCTGCCACTGACAGGTGGGAACTTGCCCAAAGTCTCTCCTGAATGGAGAGACTGACCTGGCAACCCAGGCCACGTCTGATCAGAACCTGAGCACGGGGCACTGTTCCAGTAAATTGTCCATAGTTATTTTCTGGAACAGCCTGCATCTGGTTCCTCAGAGCACTTTAGCTGTGGTAACGTCTGCTGTCAGAGCGGGTGGGGAACGGAACCAGCAGGTTCTGTGTGCTGCGTTCAGCAACGCCGAGGGAGTGCATACTTCGGGAGGAAACGGAAATGTCAAATCAGGAAACTTTGATAGAACGTACCGTGTTCTTGTGATTCCATTTTAGAATCTGGAGTATATTTCACCCTGGGGAGAGTCCACTGGTGCTCGGACCTGTGAGCCGGCTGGAGTGGGTACAGGTGCCCAGCCCAGGCCTACCCAGGACTGGAGCTGGGGGTGTCAGGAGGGGCACGGCAGAGAGCTGCCCTGGGACCTGCGGGTGCACGGGAGCATGTCTTGGTCTCTGCCAGGGCAGGTCCTCTGTCACTGGTGCTCAGGCCCCCTTTCCCCTGACCCTGAACATGGTGAGGTGCCCGTTTAATTCACAAGACGGCCTGGTATGGGCCAGCCAGTCCTCAGGGGAGGGGCCCCCTGTGGAGGCTTTGGCCCCCCTGCCTTGCCCTCTCCCCAGGTTTCTCTTGAGCACGTCCAGGCCTCTGGGCTGGGCCGAGGGCTCCTTGCATCTTTAAGATGCACACCCCAGGCACCTGGTGGGGGTCTTGCCTCGGGGCTCCTTCAGGACACACTTCAGGGCCACGTCCTTCTGCTGCGGGGACATCTGGTGGAACCCAGTGATGTTCCCCTGACCTGAGCTCTCACACCGAGGAAGCTAGGTGTCAGCCTTGTGGGGAGCTTGTGTGGGAGGCCGGCTCCGAAGGGGAGACAGCTGTGCCAGGCCCTGAGTAGGTGCTTCTTGACTGCCCGTGACAGAGCCTTCCATTGTGGCCCTCTGTGCATGAGACACTTCTCTGCAGCTCCTTTCTCTGGTTTAAGGGAAAATGTTTAATAAATGGCAGTCTGCAGAGACAGTCTTGTTATTGCCACAACACAAGGCCATTTGAAAGCAAACTCCAAGCTTTAATTCGTGCTTTCAAGTTCTTGTTAGAAGTTGGAGAGCCAGATTTATTCACTAAGCTTCCTTTATTTCTCCCCGAGCCTGTCTGTCTCTGGGTGATTTTACAGCTTCCAGAAAACCAGGATGGATTTGGCTGCTTTGGCCATGTTTCCTTGGAGTTGCTGGCTTTTGGGGGTCAGATGGCCAGGTGAACGCCTGGCGGGGAGTCTCAGCCCAAATGGGGGCGACTGGCTCAGGAGGCAGCTGGGTGGGGGGCCTGGGCAGCTGCTGGGGCCGTACCCCCCAGTCCCTGTGTCCTGCAACGGCCCCCACCCTGCTGACTGGCTGCTGTGCCCCTCCTCACTGTTTGCATTTGGGGGCTCTGGCTGTGAGGGATGCCAGTAAACCCTCATCTTCGCCTGCCTAGAAAGGAGCTTTGCTTGTTTTTTTTTTGGTGCGGAGGTGAGGTTCTCCAGGACAGATGCCACCGCAGCTTCCGGAGTTGCACCCGAGTCTGGGACCACACGTGGCTCTTACGCCGTGGTCTCCCAGGCCCTCGGCCTCGTTGCACACAAGCCCATCCTGGTGCGTCCCCAGCCACTCATCCGTGGTCACAGCCTGGATCTTGTCAGCAGCAGGCCCTCAGCTTCCCTACGGTTCTTCACCCCAGCCCCTGGTGTCCAGCGTGCGCCTCCTGATGGCCCCTGACCCCTGACACTGGCCCCTCCAGGCTCCCCCAGCCTGCTCCTCGCCAGCTCCCTCAGGCCCTCCCTCCCACCCCCCTGCCTGCCCCACCGGGCCGAGGCTCCGGGCTCAGACAGCCAGTGTGTGGGGGGCTGCTGCCCCAGGCCCTGGTGAGTCGGTGGGCTCGGAGGAGAACACCAGGGCCGTGTCTTCTGTCTGTCCCGAGCACAGTTCTGAATGGGAGCGTTCACATCCGCGACTGGAGAGAAGAGAAGCCGCACAGGCAGCAGTGCCCAGAGGCAAAGCGGAGGCTCTTCTCAGAGGCCTTCAAGACCCGCATCTGCTGGTTCTTCAGTCACCACCCTGACGGTTGTGTTCTGCCTTCAGACGGCTGCCCGTTTGCCCACGGGCCGGCAGAGCTGCGGCCGCCCCAGACCCCCAAGAGGAAGAAGCAGGTTCTGTGAGCTGCTTCTGCCCCGTGAGCCGAGGCCAGGTGCGGGGGCCAAGGTGAGAGGAGCTCCTCTGGGGACCACAGACTGCGGGTTGGGGTGCCTTCCTCCGGACTCCCCCAGTAACATAGCCCGATGGTTACGCCCACACCAGATGCCACAGAAGCTGACGTCCCTCCTGCCCCTGCCCCGTTGGAGTGCTGGGTCTGTGTTGTAAACGAGGTCACGCCTGTGCTCAGCGTCTCTATTCCAGAAAGCACGGGAGCTCTTGCAGCATCTCATCATTGTGAAGGTGGAGGAAGTGCCGGGACCGTCTGGCCTCTCTCAGGGGCCTGGCTCTGGCTCGCCTGACTCCCGTGTGAGAGCGGGCTCACCCCCAGGAGTGCAGCCGGTCCCGCCAACTCCTGGCTGTACGGGAAACCCAGCTGCTCTGGGTGCTCATCACTACACGGGGGTTCTGTCAAGGCTGTAATGCTTACATGTGCAGGTTATTTTTAGTTACAGGGAACAAAACACCCATAATCTCATTAGCCAGGTCCGTCTAGGTGACGTGAAGAAAAAATCCTAAGTGATACACAACAAGGCCAGAAAATCTAACTATCACAGAAAGCAAAAACCCCCCCTCCTGCCCCTCCCTACTAGATCTTCTCCCCAGAAGTGCTATCAGCAAATCTTTTGATTCTAGAAAAAAAAAACCCTACGTGTTTCTGTTTGAAATTATTTTTTCAGTTTTACAGAAAAGGTCACATCGGTGCGCACTCTGGTGCTCTTCATTTTCCGCACAGCGTCCCCTGGTGACTTGGGCAGTGCGGTATTCTGTGGTGTGGGCATTCTGGGTTCACTCGGGGCAACCAGAATGAACTCATCCCTTTCGCTGAGAGGCGCCTCCACTCGGTGCAGCACAGGGGTGCCTGGCCGGGCGGGGCTGGCTCTCAGGGAAATGAGCCGCCCCACAAAGTCTTGGGATGGATGGTTTGCCCTGAAAAACCCCAAGGGCACGTTCTCAGCCACGGATCTCGGTTGGGGTCAGGAGGGGCTGTTGGATGACCTCAGCTCTCCTGGGTGCCCCTGGGTGACACCTGTCCTCAGGTGGGTGGTTGTGGGTCCTGCCAGGTGGGTGCTATGCTGCAAGGAGACTTGCCACATCTCGAAGACTCCCCGCATGCCACTCAGAACAGCAGAAATGGCCTGGGGAGGCCGTGTCCCCCGGATCCGACCTCTCGGTTCCAGGTACCACATCTTAATGGCCACCAGCACCACTGTGCCCCTGCCCAGAGGTCACTGCCACATCCGGCATTACGTTCACTGTGGCATCTCACACACACGTGTCCACAGGAGTGTGTGGCCCGAGGGTTGCTGACCACGGCGACCTGGCTGAGGTCAGAGTGTGTGGGGCTGGGAGCGGGGAAGAGTCCCAGAGGAGAGGGTCCTGGGGGGTGCGCAGGGGAGTGGCCTCCAGCCTTTCCACCTGCCTTCCCCTGCGCTGTGTCTCTGGCCAGCAGGGGTCCACTCCACCTCAGAGATGACCCCCACCCGCATCTCCCCGTAAAGACCTGTCACCCCGTCAAAGGGGATTGGAAGGCGACACTGCTCCTTCCTCTCAGCTCTGCTCCTGGGGTGGCTGCCCACTGAGCGTCACCAGGCAGGGGCACAGCTGCCTGGCAAACCGACCCAGGGCCCCCACAGGAGGACCCCGTGTTGGGGGGGGGGCAGCCCAGCCCGGAGAGGCTGAGAGCTTAGTTCTGGCCGGCACCTCCCTGGGGGGTTTCCAGTGGGCTCTGTTGTCAGGAAGAGGCAGCCATGAGAAACACATTGAAGTCAGGAGAATGGTGCGTTTCCCAGCTCCAGGCTGACTTGTCGCCTGGGCTGTAATGCAAGAAACGGTTTCCATGGCTGTTTGGAACGACCGGGCGCACCGTCCACACGGTCCTGGGTCCAGCGCGGGGAGACAGAACTTCGGCAAGGCCCAGGGTCGGGGGAGGCTGGCTGGCCTGCAGACGCTGCCCCCTTGGTCTCTCAAGTCCTGTTGTGCTTGACGACAGAGTATATCCACTGTCATATTTAAACCCCGTCACCCTGTGGCACGTTGGCGACCTGGTGCCACAGAGAGCAAGCGCTCCCTCAGAGAGGCTGGGTGGCTTGCCCACAGTCACGGTTAACAGCTGCCGGGGTCGGGTTCAAACCTGGCTCTGCCTTCTCCCAGGAGGCTCTTCCCCGGCAAGGGCCTTGACTGGAGGGGACACCTGGGGGCCAAAGTGGTCAGGCACTGGTGTCGCACCTGCCAGTTAGGGCTCGTGGTGCTGGCCTCCCCTTGTCGGTGCTGAAGCATCCTCTCAACATGCATTTCCGTCAAGAGCAAGTCAGTGTGATACAAGATGCTAAACAGGTGACGGTTTGGTGGGTGCATGGATGGGGCCGACGGCACAGGAGTGGCCCCCGGATGGTCCCAGTTTGGGGATCACCTCCCTCTAACTCCCTCCAGAATCACAACCAGGCAGCATCCGTGTCTTGCCATTGTGCTCGCAGACAGCGTGGACCTCCTTGTTCCCGTTCTGCCCTGAGCCGCGGCAGCCGCGCCTCAGCATCCTTGTCTGCGCGATATCACAGACGCAGCAGAAGAAACGAGCAGGCGTCAAGGGCTCGGCCGGCCGGGCCCTGGGCTCCCGTGGGGTCAGTCGTGGCAGCGCGTCAAACCCCAGACCGTTGGGCCGTTCATCCTGGCGGCTTCTCTAATGAGCGGGGAGGAACCACTCAGGACCCCAGAGCTGGGAGGTTAGCTGAAACCACACCGTAATCCATTTGGCCTTTGTTGCTCCCGGAGGACCTGGCCTCCAGGGCTCCTTGGCTAATTAGCAGTCTAGGGACTTTTAATCCAAAGAGGCCGCAGCGGCCTTTGTGGCAGGGCTCCAGCCCCCTCTCGCGCCATGATTTATCCAGGTGAGAGGCAGCGGAGCATCTGCCCACTTGGGCTCTTCTGCTGCCTACCCCCCGAGCCGTCTGCGCCGTGCAGGGGACGGGAGACTTGGAGGCCAGGATGGCTGGGGTGCTGCTGGATGGCTGGGGCACACTGCGGGTGGAGAGAAGGAACTGCACCCTCGGTGGGAGCTGAAAGGATCGCCCTGGGCCAGGTGTTCCAAAAACACTCACAGAGCCCCTCTGGTGGGCCACACCCCGATCTGGTGCTGGGAAACAGGGATGGTGCTATCTGGAATGGCCAAGGGGTGCTAGACAGGAGTGCTGGAGGAGGGCCCCGCATCCTGGCGGTGCCCGACTGGATTCCAGGGAGAGAGAGGCCATCCTGGGTGGCTGGGCTGGGGGAGCAGGGGAAGAGTGGTACACGGAACAATCTCAAGCTGTGGCATGCACTCTACCATCCTTCCTCATACTGCATTTCTAGTGGTTGGTCAGGATTTACAGTTCATGTCCTTCACATGTCAGTGTCCACCTTAGACCAATATTAAAACCATTTCCAGGGAAGGCAGAAGCCTCCCAGAGATGTCATTCCATTTATGTGCCTCCTGTTCTTTGTGTCATGCATTTTAGTTCTCATGTTGTAAACCTAGGAGCACAGTGTGGTTGCTATTGCCTAAAACGGTCCATTGACTTTTAAACGTTAAAAGAAAAAAAATTCCCGTTTACCCACATACTTACCACTTCTTGTACTTCACATTCCTTCCTGTCCATGTCCACATTTCCATCTGGTATCACTTCCTTGCAGCCTGAAGATCTTCCTTTAGCATTTCTTGCAGTACAAGTCTGCAATCTAATGGTCTATCTTTGGTTTGCCTGAAATGTGTCTAATGGTGATCTAATGGTCTACCTTTGGTTTGCCTGAAAAATGTCTTTTTTTTTGGTCCTCATTTTTTTTTAAGACTTTATTTATTTGCTGGAGAGAGAGAGAGTGAGAGTACAAGCAGGGAGAGTGGCAGGCAGAGGGAGAAGCAGGCTCCCCGCTGAACAAGGAGCCCGGTGTGGGACTCGATCCCAGGACCCTTGGATTATGACCTGAGCCGAAGGCAGATACTTAACTGACTGAGCCACCCAGGCGTCCCTGGTCCTCATATTTGAAAGATATTTTAGTTGCATATAACATTCTTGCTTGAAAGTAATTTCCTTTTAGCTCCTTAAAGATGTCATTTCATTTTTTTCCTGCCCAGGTTTCTGATAAGAGGTTAACCATTGTTCCCATTGTTGTAGCCCTGTATGCAATGGGTGCTGTATCTGTGGATGATTTTAAGACCTTTTTCCTGTCTGTGGTTTTCGGCAGTTTTGTGTAATGTGCATAGATGTGATTTTTGTTTTTTTTCTTGCTTGAGTTTGCTGAACTTTATAAATCCCTGGGTTGCTCTTCGACCTCAGCCACAGCGACTTCTTCCTAGAAACATCGCCAAAGGCAAGGGAAGCCAGGGCAAAAATGAACTATTGGGATTTCATCAAGATAAAAAGCTTTTGCACAGCAAAAGAAACAGTCCACAAACCAAAAGACAACCGACAGAATGGGAGAAAATGTTTGCAAATGACATATCAGAAAAAGGGCTAGTATCCAAAATCCATAAAGAACTTATCAAACTCAACACCCAAAGAACAAATAATCCAATCAAGAAATGGGCAGAAGACATGAACAGATATTTTTCCAAAGAAGACATCCAAATGGCCAACAGGCACATGAAAAAGTGCTCAACATCGCTCGGCATCAGGGAAATCCAAATCAAAACCTCAATGAGATACCACCTCACACCCGTCAGAATGGCTAAAATTAACAAGTCAGGGAACGACAGATGTTGGCGGGGATGTGGAGAAAGGGGAACCCTCCTACCTGTTGGTGGAAATGCAAGCTGGTGCAGCCACTCTGGAAAACAGTATGGAGGTTCCTCAAACAGTTGAAAATAGAGCTACCCTACGATCCAGCAATTGCACTACTGGGTATTTACCCCAAAGATACAAATGTAGGGATCCGAAGGGGTACGTGCACCCCAATGTTTATAGCAGCAACGTCCCCAACAGCCAAACTGTGGAAAGAGCCAAGATGTCCATCGACAGATGAATGGATAAAGAAGAGGTGGTATATATACACAATGGAATATTATGCAGCCATCAAAAGGAAGGAGATCTTGCCATTTGCAACGACGTGGATGGAACTGGAGGGTGTTATGCTGAGGGAAATAAGTCAATCAGAGAAAGACATGTATCATATGACCTCACTGATATGAGGAATTCTTAATCTCAGGAAACAAACTGAGGGTTGCTGGAGTGGTGGGGGGTGGGAGGGATGGGGTGGCTGGGTGATAGACATTGGGGAGGGTATGTGCTATGGTGAGCACTGTGAATTGTACAAGACTGATGAATCACAGATCTGTACTTCTGAAACAAATAATGCAATATATGTTAAGAAAAAAGATAGCAGGAGGGGAAGAATGAAGGGGAGTAAGTCGGAGGGGGAGATGAACCATTAGAGACGATGGACTCTGAAAAACTGAGGGTTCTAGAGTGGAGGGGGGTGGGGGGATGGGTTAGCCTGGTGATGGGTATTAAAGAGGGCACATTCTGCATGGAGCACTGGGTGTTAGGCACAAACAATGAATCATGGAACACTACATCAAAAACTAATGATGTAATGTATGGTGATTAACATAACAATAAAAATTATTAAAAAAATGAATCGATCCCTGGTTGCTGGTTTTGATCAAATTTTGGGGAAAAATCAGCCAATATTCCATACAATTTTTTTCTCTTTCTTTCTTCGTCTGATACTAGAACTCCAGTGTGTGTGTATTGTCGATCACTTGATACCACCCCCCCCCCCCCCCAGTCACTGAGTGTTTATTTTTTAACCTTTTTCTAACATGTGCCTTAGTTTGGATGATTTCTATCTTAACTAGTCTCTAAGTCATTGATCCTTTCTTCTGTTGCATCCAATATACTGTTAATCCCAGTCAATGATATATATTTTTTCAAAATTTCAGATATAATAGTTTTTGTTTTTACAAGTAACTTCTGAAATTTCCCATTTCTTCAGCCTTTACCCATCAGGTTTAAAAAGCCCTTTTCTGAGAAGAAGATAGCAGGAGGGGGAAGAATGAAGGGGAGTAAGTCGGAGGGGGAGACGAACCATGAGAGACGATGGACTCTGAAAAACAAACTGAGGGTTCTAGAGGGGAAGGGGGTGGGGGATGGGTTAGCCTGGTGATGGGTATTAAAGAGGGCACGTTCTGCGTGGAGCACAGGGTGTTATGCACAAACAATGAATCATGGAACACTACATCAAGAATGAATGATGTAATGTATGGTGATTAACATAACAATAAAAAAGTCCTTTTCTGCCTGTCTCAACATTTGGGCCATCTGTGGGTCTGTTTTTATTGACTCTTTTTTCTCTTGACCACGAGTCACATTTTCCTGTTTCTCATATGATGAGATTTTTTTGGTTATTATTGTATAATAGATATTATAGATGATATGTTGTAGAGATTCCAAACTCTGTTGTCTTCCTATGAAGAGTGCTGAGTTTTGTTTTAGTGCCTGTTTAATTTATCAGTGAATCCCTTTGACTTGGTGGAGGCTTGGCATCAGGCTTTGTTAAGGCAGGTCTGTTTCTGGTTTCCCTGTCTTCCACGTCCCTGCAGTCCTGGGACGGGTCTTACTACTAAGATGGGTCTTTCTGGGGTTTCATGGGGAATTTGCAGGACTTGAATCCCACATGGTGTCCCCTCCAGCATGCAGCAGCCATGAGCCCTGCTCAACTGCACTTCCAGCTCCTGTCCAGACCCCTAGGCTCAGCCTGCTCCTGAGCAATTCAGGAGGTGGCCAGGGTTTCAGAGGAGCTAGTGTGCAGATTGTGTGGTGACTGCCCCTCAATTTTGAGTTGTTTTGGTAGCCCTAAGCCCCATGCATGGACTCCTTAGGGTGGTGAGACCACAGCTTTCTGCCTGATCTCTGCCCCCATGCACTGCGCAGTCCAGGTGTCCTCGATGCACATCATGCCCATGTGCACCCCTTCTGTCAGATAGACCACCCCCCATT